CCTCTCTCTTGTCCACTCAGGAGCTGTGCAGTGCTTCTCCACATAAGTCAGGCGGTTTGTGAGGTCTGCAAAACGATTCGGGGTCCCGCGCCTCACAGCTGTCACCGAAACCCTTCCTCTGCAGCCGTCCCCTCAACGGACACTAAACGCAGAGCTGCAGAAAGTTTGGGGCACATTGTTGTTCAGAGGGGAGGCTCATCGTCGCTGCGCTCGATTGACGGCTGCCCTGTCAGTTTGTCGCGGGGCTTTAGAAAACACCAACGGCTCTCTGATGAAGTGCTTACAAAAGGTCAGAGGGTGGAGGGAGGGAGGGGGGGGGAGGAAAAGAAGACAGGACAGACTGAAGGAAAATCCATAACACAAATATAGCTGTCAGAAGCGATGCAGAGTTAAGGCGGAGGCACAATGAACCATGGGAGCTTTTTTTTTTCATGAAGATGCTCGGTTCGAACACAACAGGCGTCCTTTCTCTGCTCTCCAGCACACATTGACCATCTTGAGTGCTCTACCCGATCTGCAGCAATGACCTCTTGATCCGCCACGACTCTGAAATTAAACTGCGCTCCGACCTCACTTCAAGCTCTCAGTCCTCCAGACTCCACAGTCCCCCCCAAGCCCCCCACCGCCTCCTTTTTCCCTTCCAGCTCTCAGGTGCCAAGCGCCACTCTGGAGAAGCTGATCTAATGCTTCCTCGGCTACGACAACCCAGGCGAGGAGCTCTCACACAGTTGTTTCCCCCCGCCAACACCTTCTATATATTTTCTATCTCTGCATGAAACCCCAAGCCAACCCCTCCACACCCATAGGAAACTGTCTCTTCCGTTTTGGGCTGTTGGGTCACTTCTTCCCACATCCATCAGCATGTAATGGGACTGAGCTCTGATAGACTCCGTGAAAAAACAAAAAGACTTTCGGAAACGTCTCATCTTTGTGGAGACGTGTCAGTGACCACAGGCTTTAACACCGAGTCACACATCGAGGAGGAAAAACGAATACGAGATAAATAATCTGCAAGTTTCAATAGCAAACAACAATAGTTAAATCTTTTTCTGGACGATACTGACTTCCTTTTTTTTTGCTAAGGAATGTTTAACACTAAGGGACTGATGTGCTGCAGGTTAAGTGACTTAACTTAGCTCTGAGTCCAGCAGGAAAATGATCCATTTTAAACCAGATTTTTATCATAGGTTACACTTTTAGTTTATGTGCTTGGAAAACAAAAAACGGCTATTTTTTAGTGCAGATGTATTAAATAAACAAGTAAAAAACATTGAATCAAGGGAAAAAATTGGCCTTTACGATTTCTGATTAAAACCCATTTAGGGAAAAATTGGTCGATTTCGATTTTTTACGAATTGATTTTTGAAATTTTCCACCAAATCAGTGACAGAAAAAAAAAAAAAAAACATTCCCCCCATCTGCTGCACAGCAACTTTATGATACGGCACCGCCGCCTGACCCGCTGTGAGAAAACACATCTAATCTTGGAAAAAAAAAAAAGAGAAGAAAAAAAAAGACGTGTGGCATTTATTATGAGACAGACGCACACGTTTTTGCACAAGCGTTCGGCCCCTCAGCTTCTCCCAAATAGCAGGTTCAATTAGAACCACATGTATAATCAGGCCTCAGTCTGAAGCAGAGCAGCGGCAGTCAATCACTACAACTTCATAACAATCTCTCAATTTTTATCCCCAATTAGTGAAAAGAAAAATCTCATTTCATATTTGTTACATTTCATATGATTTATTTCAACCGAAGTTGAAAAACAAAACATTTTTCTATTATAGTTCATTAGCTTCAAACCCAACATTTGAAATTACTCGTCCAGGAAGAATTTTTCTGCTTTCTTTTTTTTCCCAAAAACCAAAGCATATTAAGAATGAAACCATTTCAGCTATTAAACACACGAGTGCTCCAACAGTAGATCGAACACAGGTCAAAGCCAGCATGTATAGCTGCTGCTGTATATTCCTGCTCTTCAACATCACTTAGGAACAAAAAGCCCACTCAGACTTGTGGGTTTTGGGATGAAGGGAGAGGGTTTTAATGAAGAGAGCATCAGAGATGTGGAGACAGACGGCAGCGAGTCGTCGATAGGCTTCCAACGCGCAGGACATTTAAAAACCTCAAAACGTTGTCCATTTTCACTCAAGCAGGACAGGTGAATTGAGGAGCACTACACACACGCTCGGATGCATACACTGTTCCACATGTACCTTCACATGTACTCATGATGGAGGTAAGGACTCTTTGAGTGAGTTATGGAATAATACAATCACATCGGTGGCTTTTAATCCCATTGAAGGGGTTTTTAGAGCGCGTGAGATTCATTATTATCGCCTGTCTCTCTAGACGGGTTTCCTACACGGCTCCCAGTCACGCCCCGCCGTGCACGCACTACTCCACATATTCCAGGACCATTGGGGGGAAAAAAGAAAAATCGTCATTTAAGCATTGTGCAAACACAGAAACAACTGCCTGAAACTGATAGGAATTTAGGAAACAGGAGAAAAGGAAACATGGGATGATATAAAACAGAACACGTAAGCTTTAAAAACGGGGGGGAGAAAGAAAATAAGGCAGAGAGGAAAGTGTTGAGGCAAGTCAGATGGAAAAAAAGGTTGCAAATAAAGACAACAGCCGGGAAGCAGGCAGGGAGAGTCTCAGACACCTTCAGCCTTCTTTCACGTTCAGCTTCTTTTTCTTCCAAAGAAAAGATAAAAAATGAAAACTACTTTTTGGGTCCTAATTTCTAACATTCCTGTAAAAAAGCAGCATCTCACCGTTACTGCAGCAGAGGGACTTTATCCTGCTTTTATACTGGAAAGTGGAAATCACAATGATCACTCAGCCTGATGCAAACATAAATATAAAAAATAAAAAGTTTTTTTTTTATAAAAAGAAAAATATATCAGATTTAAATCTTAAGACAACAAAAAGCAGCAGTTTAAAATCATCCAAAAAAAATGAAGTTGGGAAAGTTTTTTATGCTCTATTTTCACAGGACCTGCTTCAAATGATTATAATCTTCATTTCTAATACTAATATAAATTATTACCAAACACTGCTGACAGTCATATATTAATTTGTGATTCTGTGTTTCAAGAGTGAAATTAAGTGGTAAGAAAATAGGCCAAAACTTTAAAAGAAAACAACTATGCGCAGATTTTTCAACAAAGAATAAAAGGTTAAACTCTATAACTAATGGTTATTTACGCATCCATTGACGCACCTGGAGCTGTGCGCCTTATTAAAACTAAACCGGAACAAAACGCCTTCCTATTTGACTCCACAAAATGTGGCAAGGTCATGAAATATGATTTAGAGCTTTTTCTTTTTTTATTATTATTATTATTATTCCCGCTGGATCTTCTATTAAAGCGCAATTAAAAGTGTGTCATCACGCCGAGAAAATGCCGCAACAGACACATGGAGGTATAGCTGCTGGTGGGGGGGGGAGAGAGAGGGGGGAGGAGGGTGATGAGGGGGGGACAACAGTGCAGAAAGGACACAGTAAATAAAATTAATTATGCCAAATGCCCCCGCGCCCATCAATCACAGGGCAATAATGCCCGTGTCAGAGTGTTGCACCCACACGGCCTGTATGCTTGTCTCCGACTGACAGACAACTAACAGCAATTAATTGTCATTTCATTCCGCAGCCATTTTTATGCGCAGCTGACACGCAGGAATCCGCTGGTTGATTTTATTTCAGAATCTACATATTAGATAAAAAAAAAAAAAAAACTTTCTTTTTTTTTATGCGTAAAGTTGCTGCGTTTTGTTTCCAATCCTTGCGCAGAAAAGGTCTCCTTTTTTTGTTCCTTTTGGAGAAATTAGGATTTTCTTCAGTGTTTAAGGCCTATTTCCTATTTTTAGCAGAAACATTCTTTAGTTTATACATAGGCCGGCATGAAATCTAACAATGCATCATTTAATTATAAATAAACCGTTTATGTTTTTGTTTTTTTATTGAAGTATAATTAATAATGTTGTTATCAGCGTTAAGTGTCAATGTTTTACACAACTAAAATGAATCCATGCTGCAGACGCGCACTTTTAGGATTCACGTTAATATGGTTCACAACTTTTCTCGCGTCATAAAAGCAAAAGAATAAGATTTAAAGTGTGTTTTTAAATTACTGTAATGCAAATGAAACTTTAAAAGCAGGATAGAAATGAAGGAAGCAGCATCAAACCTCGGTGAGGTCTCACAGAGCGACTCTGGTTTCAAAAGTCAGAATCTTTTGAAAAGAAAGTATTGTTCCCCCAAACCTATTGACCATGTCAGCTCAAAAAGCCCCCCCATCCCTCCTCAAGACAAGAGCGCTTTTATCTCCAGCAGGCAGATAATCTAAGTCATTTTCTATCATTTTAATCACCATAGTTTAATCATTAGTAGCTTAATAAATGTTTGAAATATTCAATTAAGAAGCGTTTATGGCGTTAAATAAAATGAAACATTACAACTCCTCATACATTTATCATAAACCTTTTTAGTTTAAGTTTTATTTTTATTTTTTTCGGACCGGGCTCCCGACATTTCAGTTGCTTTTATAACAACAACAACCAAGAAAAAGTTTTTTTTGTTTTCTTTGAAGAGGAAAAACATTCCGCCACGCGGTTATTAACGTTTAATAACGCGAAATATCGCGTTAATAAGTGGGATTCGTAAAGGAGATTTTGAAACAAAATGTAACTTTTTTTTTCTTACTAAAACAAAAGTAAGAAGAGAGCAAATCATCACTTTTTACAAACAAATCACATGTGGCTCTTTTTTTTTAAGTTTCGGGTTAGAAATAGTCAAAGTTGAAAAGAAGCAGCGACAGAAAAAGAAACATTGTTTGCTTTACTTCAATAAACTGATAATATTATAAATCTTCATAAACAATAAGTGGGAAGGAAAAAAAGAAAGTTATGCATCAGAGAGTTTCAATGGAAGCGCGGAAAGAGAGGAAGGAAGAGTTTAGAAAGTAAGGGTGCAGAGATAATGCATCAACCTGTTCTCTCGGTTTCTGAAGAAGTCAACTTTCACGCCAGCGGTTGGAGCATGTGGACAGCCCCGCTTCTGCTCCTCGCACCCCGGCGCTTCCACTCTCTCTTCACGGCGACAAACAAGAGGGGCGCACCACCAGACGGGACGCGAAAAAAAAAAATGGAAGAAAAAAAAAACAATAGAGAGGAAAAGAGAGCAAAAGAGACAGAGAAATCTATGGTCTTAAGACCATTACTTCTTTTTAAGCGGAGAAAAAAGCCTGCTCGTTAAGTCCCTTTTCCTTTCCCCCCCTTTTGTGTGCGTCCTCTCTCCTCAGAGTGGCCCCTCTGGAGTGAAGTCGGAACAATACTGCCGCTAAAAACTCTGGCAATGAGCGCAACTTGCAGCGGGGGAGAAACAACGCGCCTTTCTTTTCTTCACTTGCTGCTCCTGCTTCCAAAGGCTTTCTCCTCAAAGAAGCCAAACCGGCGCGTAAAAACCTCCCGGCCGGACTGCACTTTTGGGCATCCTGTCTTGTTGCTCGCTTGGAAATCAGGGTTGAATCACTTCGGCTGAGCGCGCGTGTGAGTGTGTGTGTTTGAAGGGAGTGTGTGTGTGTGGCTCAGGGGGGAGAGTTTGCTGCGCTTTACCGTATTTCCTCTAAAGCAGGTGCGCAAAGTAGTGGCGCACTGCATTTGAAGGGAGCTGTCTCTGTGTCGCTCTCCAGGCGTGTGTGTGTGTGTGTGTGTGTTGGCTGTGTGTGTGTGTGGATTGAGGGGAAGGCACTGATCTTTTGACCCGCTTTGCATCCTTGCTGAGTTGTGCTATTGTGGAGGCAGAGAGCAACAGATGTTGGGCTGCACAAAGTTTGAGCCCAGAAACCGCCAGAAACAAAGCACAATCAGGACAAACAGCTTTTTTTCCCCTACCTTTTAAGAGACTCAATATATATATATAATTCTGAAATAATAAAATATAAATACGCATAAAACCTGATGACCTATATCATCACCTTTTATATATTTTTTATCATTCTAAAAGTCAAATAATTGGCCCAGGTTTAGATGGTATAATTTGTTTTAGATATAGTTCCCAAAGGGCTAGATTAGTGAGATTGGATCATTACTTTCATTTAATTATTTTATAATACATTTTATAAAACAGATTTATTTCAGATGACAACTTTTATTGTCATTTCTTATTCACAGAGTATATGTAAAATAAAATTTCGTTTTTTACAGCTTTCATGACATTTCCTTGGCCTAAACAGTGACAGCATTGCAAAAAAATAATACATTTCAACTGATAGGAAAACCTTTTTCAGGTTAGCATTAAACGCTGTGCCTTAATGAAAAGTAAAGTTTGTAGCTGAATTTGTCGATATGGTGTGATTGTCCTGGATCGATCTGAATAAATAGTTCTTGATAAAGAATCTCTTATTTTTTGCTCCTTTAGAGCCTTGAAATATTTGTAACTTAATTTTTTTTGGGAGGGGGGATGACTGGTGCTACCTGAATAAACTGAGTGGAAGTTGAATTAAACTAAAATGCAACCTAGCACCTTTAAGGATAGCAAAAACACAAATTCAGTTATGGAACAAACTGTAAAAACTAAGTTTAGAAATTAAACATTTAAAAATGCGCTAACTGTTGTATTTCACTGGTTGTTTAGTCCAGTAAGGTTAATTCAAACCTTAAACCCCCACAACAGCTGTTTGCTCTTTACAATAATTTCACTTCTGTTAATAGAAGGTACAGTATGATATACAGTTGTATCATTATGATACACTGAATTATAAATGTGGCCTTTAGCATCTTTGCTCACTGTTTCCACCTCCTCTGTAAGGAAAGCAGCCCAGGTCTCCCAAATGTCACCTTTTACTTAATTAATTTTTTTTGTCAAATTCTATGAACATTGTAGAAGCGAGAAAAATAAAGAAGGAAAACTGTTTTATGTCACAATTCCTACCTCTCATACTTCCTTTATCTCGACCTCTTTCAGTTCATGTTTACCATGAACTGAAAGAGGCCGGTAGATCTTTTTTTAGAGCTTTTTTTTAAAGCATCGTTATTATTTATTATGAGGTAAGGCAAGGGAAGTTTTTCTGTAGAGTAAAAAAATTGTTTTTTTCTTTTCAAAAAGTAGTTGAGCTTAGTAAGTTTGAGAACATGTATTTTGTCTACATATCAGATGTAGAGGGTAATATCTGACTGATGCAATTTTTTTTTTTTTTTTTTATGAGACCGTAGTATATTAAGACTTGTTAAAAACAACAATAAAAGCTGGGCGTACGCTGTGTGATTTGTTGCCCTTTTCGGGGCGACTTTTCAGTCGTGCGAGAATTTTCCGATCAGGCCGATTTTCAGCCTGATCGTGCGTGGTGTAGTGTACAGGGGGTAACGTGGGACAATCAGCCTCTCACAACCAAATCAAACATGTTTGAAATTCAGTCGTCCATGGCGGGTAAATTGCTCAGTGGGCATGTGCAAACAAGGATTCTTCTTCTTCAGATGAAAAAACAGAAGCATGGCGGGGTGCGAGTGAAATGGAGTTCTTTCTGTAAAATTGACAGACCATAACAGCCAAGTTTGCTCGGCCATGTCTTTGTCCAACTATGTCGCTGCCTTTTCTTTTTAGGGCTTTCAGCACAAAATTGGACAAATTGCCAAGGCAGCGTGTTTCACTCTAGTGAGCTTCGGATAGACGAGTCCGAGTAGCGCCATCTCACTGCAGAGCTGAGTCCGATGTGGTTTTTGGACGTACGGTGTGAACAGGTAAATCTAGGGTGACCAAAGGGGGACGGAGCGACCAAACCCGATGCGGTGACGGTACAGTATGCTTGCACGGTAAGGCAGATGAGGGGAAGCACGGGGCCGCTGTTGTCCAGGCTACCCTGCGGTTTCATCGTACAGTATGAGCTGCAGCTGTGTCCAATGACTGAAAAAAATTGCACAGTGTATGCCATCGACAAACACATTAATGCTGGGTGCAACTAGTGCAATGGAACTTTTATGTCCTGCACCTATAAACCAGTTTTGAGTCAGAGGACTTGACCAAAGTGATTTGCACTACATTCAGTCATTCACACACACACTGATGGTGGTAAGCTACGTTGCAGCCACAGCTACACTATTTGACAGAAGCGAGCTGCCGTACACTGGCGCCACCCTCAGACCACCATCAGTAGGCCATGCAGGTGAAATGACTTGCCCGAAGACACCACGACACCAGAGATGGGAAGCAACGAAGTACAAATACTTCGTTACTGTACTCAAGTTGATTTTTCTGATATTTTTACTTTACTTTACTACTTATTTTTATGGCGACTTTTTACTTCTACTCCTTACATTTTTACACAAATATCTGTACTTTCTACTCCTTACATTTTAAAAAATTGGCTCGTTACTTTAGTTTTGAATCATTTCAATGGAGTTACAGTTATTATTTTTCACGTCATCAATACCAAATTCAATCTAATTGGATGGGAATCTACGTTGCATTTGACGCACCACTACAAGATGAATCGACAGATTCGGCGGTATTCATTGGCGGCAAATCATTGCAGCTTGGTGGCGGTGGCGTTAGCATAGTAGCATGGACGACGAGATGATTGAAAATGAACACAACGGAGATCTAGTCCTATTGGCAGACATCCATTTAAAATGTACGGCATGAAAATAATGGTTTCTACTTTTACTTTTATACTTTAAGTAAATTCACAAGCCTGTACTTTGTTACTTTTACTTGAGTAAAGAAGTTTAATCAGTACTTCCACTTTTACCAGAGTATTTTTTAACACAAGTATCTGTACTTTTACTCAAGTACGGAAAGTGAGTACTTTTGCTTGAACCCACAACCCTTCAGTTGCAGGGCAAACTCCTTTATCTGATGCCACTGTCACCCCACTTAAACTAACATGCTGGGAAAAAAATTTAATATCAGTGATGAAAGTTATCAATTCATGAATTAATCTCTTATATGTCGACTATTAATTAATAAGCCTTGATTTTGTTTAAAACTTTAGTTTTCTCTTGTATCAAGAGGATCTTTCCATAATATGAAGGGCTGCATATTTTTTATAACATGGTGAGTTATAAAAAAAAGAAGGAGCTGTATTAAATACTAACCCAATAAACAAAAAATGTTTTATAGAAGAAAGGGGAACCTATTACTCACTGATAAAAGAATAAATCATAGATGTGAAATCAAAACATTTCTAATGCACAGAGATATAAAACTATCATTAACAGACAGGGTATGTTGCTCTGACATGCTATTAGTCTTTTTTCCACTTTGTTTCAGTGAAGTGGATGATAGCTATGATGTAGCTCTTTGTGCTGTTAGCAGCACTTTTAACAGGGTAGTTCTGATTGTTAAGTGCATTAACTCACTAAAGCATTCTTTATGTACCCGGCTTATTGCTAGCGTGGCTTCTTCTATCGTTTTACGATGCCCCTCACATTTCTATCATCACATCCCTGCATATGAACACAGCGGAGGAGTCAATGCCATTTCAACATGGCTAAAAGGGCGCTAAATAGGTTATAACTTAAGGCGTTTATGCAGAGTCTATGTTTACAAACAGAACAGTCTAAAAGGTGTTCTGCATCCTTGGAGCCAAAAAAATGTAAATAATCAACAACCATTTCTGGACCGATTCATGGGCCGTTTCGCAATTCTCAAGAGCACAAGTATGGACTTAAAAGTATAATGTTCTCGCCTCAAACGTACATTTATTGAACGGCAACAGAAAAGAGAAGTTAAACCTAATACTCTGAGCTCTGTGAGCGCTCCATTGAAAGCTGCTGCTGCCGCAGTGCATGCTGGGATAGCTGTCAATCTCAAGAACGGTATAAAGGGAGGGGCGACAACAACATGCGGGGACTTTGTCCGTTGACGGTCTGTTGTTCTCGTGAATTGGATCAATACAAGGGCTGAGGCTGATGACGTTTCACGAGTACACGAGCACATGAGAAAGCACAAGTACACATATAATGAGAAATGGCCATGGTACTGTTCTAGCATGCTTCCGCTCTGAGAATTAACAGTTGTACCCTCTACTGGACGGAGGTAACATTACAACATTGAAGAAAATTCAAAGAGGATGTTATCAGTTAAATGAACTGAACACATTTTTATCTAATAAACAAATAACTCCAATTGCAATAATGATTTGGTTAATTGTTCATATCCCTTACTGAAATGCAAAGTATGTTTTCATGACTATTTGAAATAACAGATATTATATACCAGCTGTTGTTTGCAACATCTTTAATCCACACAATTATTGAAGTCCATGTTTTGTTAAATGTTACTTTCTAACTCAATGTCTCTTTTTAGCACAAGATAGCTGCAGGAGCCTTTTAAACAAAAGCCACTTTTCAACATGTAAGCAGATTTTTTTTAGATTTGCCTGCAAATTGAATACCTAATGCATGGTCATGTTTGATTTTCTACCAACCACCGCTGGCTCGCCGAGCGAATGTAAAGTGCTGGATCTGGCTCAGTGGCCATAAAATGTCCTGGCCTGAGTTAAGCCCACTAGCAGCCACAGCATTACTGACCACTTTTTTGTATTGATCATTTTTTCCTTA